GTGCTCACAAAAATAAAAAATAAAAATCGCATTGAAGAGGAAAATCAATCGCTTTCCTGCCATTCCCAAACTCTGGACCATTTAGAAAATTTAGTTGAAATTTTAATAATTTTAAATCTAACCATTTTGATATTTTTCAGACTTGGAATTTGTTGCGTTTTTTATTTTTTCTAAAAAAAATTATCCAATCTTTTATTTTCTTTCTCAGTAATAAAAAAGAGTTTGTATTGAATAGAGGAAAATAGATCTGTCTGCGACCCTCTTCCCGAACTTGCAAGAACATGTAATAATTAAAAATGGGTTAAATTACTTGATAAACACAAAACATGAAAAATAAAAATAAAAGGACACCGGCCGGCCAACGGGAACCATCCAACATGCTTGCACAGTTGCACTGACCATTGCAGTTAGCTCTTTATTCCTCTGTCATATGTCTCTGATTTTTCCTTTGACCACGCTTTGGATTCAGATTCCTCATTCCCATCTTTTTAATTTAATCTTCCGCTTTCTTTTGTAAAAATTAATTAAAAAAATTCATGTGAGCTTCAGGTTTACATATGCACGATCTTAACCTCTGTAAATGTATTCAGTTAATGTGCTTTATTCTTGAATTTTAAGATTCAAAAGAAGACCTTTAAAGCTATTTAACTTGCTCAAGTGATAAATATCTCCTCAAATCTTACTTAAATAGAGAATTGTGTGTTCAATCCTTCGTTTTATATAAGAGATGACAAAAATAAAAAATAAAAAAGGACAGATAGTCATTCTTAGGTAAGTATTGAAAGGTAATTTTTGTTTTTTATAAATTCAGTTTATTATCATAATATTAAGAGCTTATTTGAAATGACAGTGAAGTCTTTCAAAAGTAATTCATAAAATACAAAGTATATAAAATAAATTTGGTCTTAAATTATGTGAATAAGTGATTTTAAAAATTTCAATAATGATCCCAAACAAACACTAAATCGCTTTAGAAACTTTTCGACAAATTATATTAATTAAAAATATGATATGAATATTAATATGAATCACAATGTGTACCTCGTCACGTGCATCATAATTTGACGAGAGCCCAGTTGGTCGGTTGTTTGTCTCCAGTTGAAGATGAGTGGCCAATGTTAATAATTTGTTTTCCGGTGAATTAAGCCATCCATTGAAATCCCCGGAGCTAGTACTTAACGGCTTAATCACAGAACTACTGTTAAAGGAACAATTACAAGCACAACTACCGCCGTAGGTTGCACCGTCTCCATCGTACCACGTATGCACGGGATCCGACCCTTCCCCGTTACCCACGTGGAGGGGGGTGGGATGACCCGGGGGAGTGTCACGTGCGGTCAGCGTGCGAAAGTGTCGGTGAAGCGGAATAGTCCGATCTTTCAACACTGTATAAATTGGTTGAAAAGTCATGAGCCCGCTTATTTATCCATTATGCATCGATGCAAAATTGCCAATTTTTAATATGCTCCATTCATAAATTATTTTGATGATTAATTATTCATCAATTATAGGATTAATATCATTTTTATCTACCTAAAGATTTTTGATACGCAGAATATTATTTTGGGTTTCTAAAATATTTTCAAGTTTTAGAAAACAAAATCAAAATAAGATGAATTTCAGAGACTAAAAATGAGATTTACCCTAAATTCCAAATTAAACATATTTTCATTAAAAATTCAAGTGAAATAGATATGCAATTTAATTAACTGACATTTCTTATTATTATGTTTTCCTAGAGATATTCATTTGGAAAAGTTTCACTGTCCCCATTTCTTATTTTGTTAAAAAAATTATTATTATGTTTTCCTAGAGATATTAAAGTGAAAAAAAAATTCAAGGATTTATTGTTGGTGGTTTACATTTATACGTAATTGGCTCTAAGAAAAATGTTATAAATAGAACCAATAGCTAGCATGTGATGTCATCTGTGATGAAATTCTAACTGAATTGAAAAAGACCAAAATATGATAACTCTATTTGACCTTAATTCAATATTTTTTGATTCCCAGCTCACATCACATTTATTCTTAATTATTGGGTTTTTCCTGGACTATTAATTGAAGGTTTAGTGAACAAGTTAACAAATGATTATTAAGACTAGAATATAGCAATGAAAATATCACGTGGAGTATAAATAAATTTAGCAATTTCTTCTTAGTGAGAAAGCCTTTCTCTCACAAAGTTAAATTATATATTTTCAACTTGTGATTTTCTACTGGCTTGCACTTTTTTAACCGAGTATTTAGTCAACAGATCGCGATGAGTAGTTCTAAAAAAAAAACAATAAACGATTTCATCCTAGTGATCCAACCCTGCCTTTACAAAATAAATTTTATATTTTAAACTTGTGACTTTTGTTAGCTGAAAAATATATTAATTAATTTAATCATAAAATTAAATTGAAATGTAATATAACTATATTACGTGCTTAATTACTAAAATGCAACTGGGTTGATCAACATCTCAGGATAATTTTTTAAAATATTAATATTTTTTATTTTTTGAATCTTAGATATCCCCTCACACCTCACCCAGATCTTACGACATGATGTTGCCGGTGTTACAGTGGTCAGTGGCCCAAAGTACTGCCATTTTTTGTCCTATACAAAAGGCACCTGCTTTTAGATAATTAATTTACACACGTTAATAAAATTATTTAAATTAATTATTGACATTAAATTAAATTTGTATTAATTTATGTAAAACATCTCTTTTAATAAAAACTAAAACTTCTTTCACTTACACAATCAACAGGAATAATCTAATAAATAATTTATAAATCTAGAAACAAAATAAATTGATATCTTATAAATCTAAATAAATAGTGTAGTTAGTTTTTATATTTAGGATAGTTAGTTTTTATACTTAGGATTGGAGCAAATATTATTTTTATGCCATTAAATCAATATTTCCTGTTACTGAAATAGTTGTGAGCGGTTTTTTTCCCTTCTCAAAACCCAGATATGATATGACTTTCAAAAAACATTGACGATAGGTCATAGGTGAAACTTCCACTCATTATTATTTATTCTGGTGAAATTAAAAAAAAAAAGAAGCCTGATCAGAGCGTCAAAACTAAAAAGGAGGCTTGCACGTGTATATGAACCTATAAAATATTAAAAAGAAGCGGTGTTTTCCCAACAAGGTTACACTCTTTGCCGTCGGTAAAAAGGTCAAATTAAAACACCCCCCCCCCAACATAGTAATGTTCAGGGAATAATTAGATTCAAAGATTAAAAACTTAGGTCAAAGTAAAACAAAATAAAATAAAATATTAAATTTTATTTATATTTATTATTGTGTTGATTTTATTTATATGAGGTATAATATATACTAAATAAGGATAAAATTAGAAAGTTGTTGAATTTTAAATGAAAGTTAATAAATTTAAAATTTTTTTGATTTGTTTAAAATAAGTTGAAAGTAATTTGTAAATAGGATTAAAAGAATATTAAAAATTAGTTCAGCCGAGCTCGTGTGGAGTTTTGGCAGGAGGAGAGGCACGTGTGACCAGTGCAGGGATGCAAAAGACTGAGAAGGCTTTTGGGCATCTCAAATTTCATTTCACCGTTCAATAGTCAGTCTCCTCTCTCCTGCCCTTCTCAAAAGTAATTGCCACGGGCACCCGCCACGTGGCCGATATCAGCCTCAACAATGATTAGTCTACGGCACAATTCCCATAATACCCCTAGATCGGCACGTGCCGGCCCTTAAATGTGCCGCTTCGTGTCTTTAACGGAAATTGCAAAGCACCAAAGCATCTGGGGTTGTTTAGGTGAAACCAGGCTCACCCTCTAACAATGATTTGGCGGCTTCCTTTGTCTCCTCTTACCAACTTTAATTAGCACACAAATATGTGCCCTTTTTTTCCTAAATATTTTTTTTGGTATTATTGACTTTTTATGCTTTTAATTATTCAAGCATCATAACTATAGGTATCCGGCAAAACAAAAAATATCCGAACTATGAATATTAACATTCCAAGAGGATGAATTAAAAAAATTAAGATGCTGTTGTCAAGTATAGAGTTCAATTTTGATTGAATCAATGATACATAATATAACATAGAGTATTTTTGTATGGAAAAAAAATAACAATTTTGTATAAATTTTTATAAAAAAAAAAGAAAATAATATGAGCATGTAAATGCATTCATTCAGGCAGGAAAAAACAACATTAAATGCATCAGTATAATACGCTTTAACAATTATTTATAGGAAGAAACAGGAGCCTGTTATATCACATTAATTGAAGCTTTTTTTTTCTTTACTTGTTTTTTCAGTTGTAAATCATATAAAATTTTAAGTTCGGCTCACACAATTTATAATCATGTACATCGAGCACAATAATCAAAATATATTAGGTTTGTAATTATTTTAAAAACGATAATGTAGTAATCAATAATTCAATAATATGTGTGTCTCGATATATGCCTCTGTGTGTGTGTGTATATATCTGTATATATATGACGGTCACAACTCACCAGTTGGCGCCCAAGTTAGCTGGCCACTCGTTTTTATATATTCATTTCTTAACCCTTAATTCTTTAATTTTCTTCTCCTCTCTCTTCTTCTCCAACCTCACCAGAACAGGCCACAGAGAATAATTGCTCTGATAATTGAAAGAAATTGTTCTTCTCTTTACATTTTGACTTTGTTTTGATTCGCTCTCTGCCTCCTTACAATAATCGGCCTTCCGGTTCCTTTTTCTTCATCTTCTTCTCAAGTTTGTACATTCACCTTCCTCCTGCTGGAAGTTAAGATCTATGCTTTGACCTCTCTCAGGTTCAGCTTCTCTCCCTCCTTTGTTCTTTTGTCCTCTCTCTTGTCTGGAAATCTCTCCGGCTCCAGTCGCCGGCTAGGATCTTTTCGCGTTGCCTTACAGAGTAAGGTTTTCAGGTTAATGGCTTCGAGGTTTTCTTCCACATTGAAGTTCTTCAATCTACATCTCTCTTAGTCTCTGAATACTTCAAATCTTATTTGTAATTTTCCGCTTCCTCTTCCTCTCTCTCTCTACGCGTGTCTCGGGGATTGGACTCGTGTAATGCTGAGGTCAGAGATTTCCCAAACAGGGTCTAACAGCCTTTCTGGTCAATTGGGTCTCTTCAATTTCTGGCGCCACAGATCGTAGAGAATCAAATTCCTCAGAGATCTGTAGCTCTCTGGTTTCGGATTTACACACTTTATATATTACTGTGCCGAGGCAGAAAAGTAGGGAGGGGCATTGAAGATGTTGAGGATGAGGAACAACAACAACAACAAGACCAATGGGCTTTCACCCATGAACGGAAGCTCGGCCGGCGCGGGCGCGGGCGCCGAGTCAAGGACTCACGAGTGGGAGATGAGACCGGGAGGAATGCTGGTCCAGAAGCGAACCATCGACTCGGATCGCAACTCGGCTCTGGTGCCGACAATTAGAGTTAGGGTTAAATATGGGTCAATCTACCACGAAGTCAATATTAGTTCTCAAGCTACATTTGGTAACAACTCTACCTCTCTGGTTCAAAAATTTCCTTTCTGTTTCACTCTTCTCTTCTCTCTCACACACATATACTTTTTTTTGTTTGTGGGTTTGCAGGGGAACTGAAGAAGATGCTGTCAGGGCCAACAGGGTTACACCACGAAGACCAGAAGCTATTTTTTAAAGACAAGGAGAGAGATTCAAAGGCGTTTCTTGACATCACAGGAGTCAAAGATAAATCAAAGCTAGTTCTTGTGGAGGACCCCATTAGTCAGGAGAAGAGGTTCCTAGAAATGAGGAAGAACGCAAAGATGGAGAAAGCTGCAAAATCTATCTCTCAAATCAGCTTGGAAGTAGATAGGCTCGCAGGACGGGTAAATGCTTCTTATCTAACGCGTGCTTGATGATCTTTTGTTGTGGGATTGAAAATTTGTAATGAAATGCTTGAGTAGTTTGAAACTGATGAATTTGTGATTGAAATTTGGATAGGTGTCTGCTTTTGATTCCATAATTAGTAAAGGTGGCAAAGTCGCAGAATCAGATGTGCTTGGTCTTATTGAACTTTTAATGAACCAATTGCTCAAGTTGGACGGCATCATTGCTGATGGAGATGTCAAATTGCAGAGAAAAATGCAGGTAAATTCTGGTGTGCTCTGAATAAGGGAAATGTAACTTCTGCTCTCTAAATTCTAAAGTCACTTCCGCAGGGAAAATTTTGACTCGCTTCTGATTGTTCCTTGAATCACATCCATTGACCTTGTTTTGCGCTGTTTTTGACTAAAGCAAAGATTTGAATTTTGTATTTTTAAAGGTTGATGACCAAACCAAAACAAATCATCTTGAATTCATGTAATTAATGTCATGTATGCGTTCTGAGTTCTGATGGCATCTTGGTGTTGAATCATTCTGAAGGTGAAAAGAGTTCAGAAGTATGTTGAAACTCTGGACATGCTGAAGATCAAGAACTCTATGCCTGGTAACAATGGAGGCGATGCGCCAATGCAGCAGCCTCAACAAAAGAGACATTCAAACGGCCAAAGCCGACTAGCCCCAATTCAAGAACAGCCTTTAGAGATGCAATCAAATGGGCGTATCGATCTATTAACCCCAACTGAAGAGCCACAATATCTTCAACCAAGGAACTCAAATGGGCATTCTCCATTGATTCAGCAACAAGAAGCATCATCGGTGGATTCTTCTTCAACCTCTGGAGTTGTAGTGACCACCAAGTGGGAGACATTCGAGCCCGCTCCACCATTGATCCCGGCAACATCATCCGCCTCCTCTGCGAACAATAATTCGGTTCATCCCAGGTTTAACTGGGAATTCTTCGACTAAATATATCAGTCAAGCATACCACGTGTTTTGTAATTGTGTGGATGTGATTTGGGTTTGCGTTCCTTCCACTCGGAGTGTTATATGGTTCTTCTACATTCTTTTCTGTATTTAGAATTGTTTAGCAACCCTACTAATCTGCCCATTAGTTCGTCGGAAATAAATGGTGTTGCTAAGAATTTTTCTTTTTTCCTTTTTTAATCTGTAATTTTTGGTACTATGGTCAGGTGTCCTTGGATTTTGTCCAAGACTATATTATTCCTTCCTGAGCAATCATAAACGATTGCTATGGTATTCATAATCATAAATCTGTTCCTTTTCTGTGATATTGGTGCGTCGTCCCTGAGTTTAATTTCCTTTTGAAAGGCTCTACTATTTTAGGGAATATATTATGAATACTAATTTGTGGCTTCATTATTGGCAATGTTACAAGAGCTAACCGTTGCAAGTCAATGTTTTTCTTTGATACAACCTTGGCAATTGAACCCTCTGTCTTTTTTTTCCCCCAAAAAAAGAAGAAGAAAGATTTAAATCCCAAATAATCGGCGGCTCGAAATCTCTATTGAACATACTCTATCTGAAAAATTAACAATGAAATCCACTACTTAACGTTATAAAATATTTTTCAGTCAATTCCTGCGCAAGTTCAGAAGGTGATTCATTGGTGGCAATTTGTATTTATGATATCACACACACACACACACAGATATAAGAAGAGATATAAATTAAAAAAAATGATATAGGAAATCGAATATTTTATTCCTAAACTGAACTAGCCAATTCAATCACACTGTTAAAGGAATGCAAAGTAATAGAAGGATAAGAGGAAATGAGGAATGTAGAAAAGGTGAGGGTGAGGGTTAGTTGGAAGAGAAGGGGAGTTCATGATACATTGCTTGTTGTGGGGACTACAAAGTGACAAAAAGAGGAGGGCATCCTATAAAGGCGCATGGAAGCAATCAATTAAGATGGATGCATCCAATCACAGCAAGACATGGCTCCAAACACCCTTCACAAGCTGAATTAGGATTCAGCTTCTTCACTCTTGCTTGCCTCCTTCCATTTACCAAATTCGGACATCTCAGCCCAAATCTCCATATTTGGAAACCTCACCTTTTTTTGGCCATCAAGCAAAGCTTCCCAACACTATCATATCTCCCCGCGCCCCCCCCCCCCCCTTTTCCTGGAGTGAACCTCACTCCCCCTCTCACTTCATTCAACCTTCCCTTATTAGCCTTGCTTCTTCTTCTTTCGTATATTTTATTTATATAATGGCCATTCTGGTTTGGTTGCCTTGTGATGGAATTTGAAGTAGTAGTCCCAAGCACAGTGGATCAATTCTGTGCTCGTGTTTCACCTTAGTTGGTAGATACTTGTGAAAAACCTCATCATTCTCGTATTGTTACTTTCCTCTCTTCCTCAATGTGCCTGATCAAGGATTTGTCAGGGGTTATTACTCTACCAACAATATGCCTTTTTATTTATTTATGTTCAAGACCAATATTCACATGGCCTCTTGAAAGAAGTCGAATAGCAATATTCAAGACATGACATTCCCCACATTAAGCATATCAGTGTTCCATTATCACAGCAACAAGTGCAACTCAACTCCCTCGATTAATTGATGTTTACAAAAAAAAAAATTCTATATTTTATCAATTACTTCCGAATAATTGTTAGTGGAGTTGTTTAGTTCAACAACTGCATCATAATAATTGCAACTTGAGGGTAGGAAATGACAACTATCACTAAAAAAATTTACTTATCCTCTATTCTTAATATAAAACCTAATTAACTAATATGAGTAGATTAAGATGTTAGTTATATTAGTTAATATGATATGTTTTTTTTAAAATATTCTAAACATGTTCCTTAATTCTTTCCGTTCTTCTCTTACTTGATTATTGTTGGAGAATATTAATAGGGTTAATTTTAGAAAAAAATTGATAAACATGTAAAATAAATATTACACACAGTACCAATATTAATTCTTCAATTATATCCTACGTTATAACCGGAGAGTATTTACTTGTGAACACAGATGAAATTATCTGTTGATAACTTTTTTAATAAAAAATAATTACTTCTCATAGTTAATTGATAAATAATTCTAATACAACAATTGTCAGTGCTAAAAACTCCATGAAGAACTATTCACACGGATTGA